TCAGAGACTCGCCTGCAAGACTCGAGCACTGTGCTCACTCTGCGTTCCCCTTCAGATGACGCAAGCAGTATTTTCTCCTTGCGCCTATCCGGTGACGATGCAGCTTCGAGCACCGGCCAAGCCGGTGTTGGTATTGCCCTGAGTCCCCGGGCTGAAGCTGCTCTGGTTGATTGGATTCCAATCAGTAGCCGGATGTGTGCGGTCCGATTGGCTGGCTCGTTTAAAGCTTCGAAGTCGCGCGGGCCTAATAGATGTCTATTCATCATCGCTGCCTATGCGCCCACAAACTATAGCGATGATTCGGTAAAGAACGATTTCCACCGCCAAGTGACCCAGCTCCTTCGCCACAGAAGAAGCACGGACACTGTTGTGCTGGCGGGGGATATGAACGCATAAGTTGGAAAATTGTCCACTGATGAACTGCATCTGGGCGGTCAACACGGTGTAGGCTCCCGTAATGATAACGGTGAGCGGTTACTTCATTTGTGTGAAGATGCTCGCTTATTTCTTGCGAGCACTAATTTCCGACACAGCACCCGCCGAAGGGTGACTTGGCGCCCACCAACCTCGAACCAGCCTTGCACGCAGATCGATCACATTGCTATCAGTTACCGCTGGAGAGGCTGCATCCAGAATTGTCGCTCGATTTGGAGCACATGTGTGGACACCGATCATGCACTTGTATGTGCTGACATGCGGATGCGTTTTGGCGGACGCCCACGACGACGCTGTGAGCGTATTGACACCAGCCAACTGACAAAACCAGCTGTTCTGAATGCGTATCGAAGTACGCTAACATGCGAGTTGAGTAAGCGCTCACAGGAGACAATTGATGGTCACTGGTCACATGTTCGCCAGACATCACTAGCAGCAGGCAAATCCTCATGTGGTATGCCTAATAGACAACATGGACATTGGGTCTCTTTTCAGTCTCTGGAACTTATAGATGCTCGCCGGCAAATCCCGGCTGGAAGCGAGCACAATGAAACTCGCAAAGAGCTCCGGGCAAAACTCCGTGCTAGCCTGAAGAGAGACCGCGAATCTTGGTGGTCTCATCGTGCGTCAGAGATGGAAGTGGCCGCTGCCCTTGGCAACCATCGTAAGTTATTCCGTCTGATACGGGAAACGGGCAGCAGGAGACCTGGTGTTAGTGAAACTATACGTGACGAGAGTGGACAGCCTATCCGCAATTTGTCAAAACGTTTGGAGCGTTGGGCTGAGCATTTTGAAAAGCAATTTAATCGGTTAGAATTGTTCGATTCGCTGGTCACTGATCGCCCCGCTCCGTGGGCTGTCCCTTTGGATCCACCCTCTCGCTCAGAAGTCGAACGTGAGATCGGACTGTTGAAGTTGAACAAAGCCGCGGGACCAGATGATCTTCCTCCAGCTCTCTTCAAATTTGGAGGCTCTGCTCTTGTTGATGCTTTGCATGAATTACTAGTGAAACTGTGGGAGCAGGAGACTGTCCCAACCGACTGGAGCCGCTCCGTTATTGTTCCCATCTTCAAAGGCAGCTCGCGCTCGGAATGCGGCAACCATAGAGGAATCAGTCTGATCTCCATCGCCTCCAAATTACTCGCCTCCATAATTCTCCACAGACTGACTGGCGCTCGTGAAAGCCAGATTCGTGAGGAGCAAGCCGGGTTTCGTCGAGGTCGTGGCTGCATCGACCACATCTTCACTTTGCGTCAGTTGTTGGATCACCGTCACACATATTGGCGGCCCACCGTAGTCGTGTTCCTCGACATCAAAGGTGTCTTCGATTCGGTTGATCGATGTGCCCTTTGGAATTGTCTACTCAGGAACGGTGTGCCCGAGAAATATGTAAATATTATCCAAGCATTATATGCGCGTAGCACGGGCAGAGTGAGGGCTTACAGCAGGCTGTCGCCACCCTTCCATATCTCCAGCGGTGTGAGACAAGGATGCCCGCTGTCACCTTTCTTCTTCAACTTCGCTATTGACGAAGTCATGGAGATTGCATTTACAGGACATGACTTGGAAGGTGTGGAGCTACTCCCAGGAGAACGACTTCTTGACTTGGAGTATGCAGACGACATTGCCCTCATCTGTGACAGCTCCCAGATGTGTCAAGCCGCGCTGGACAGATTAGCACTGGCTGTCAGTTGCTTTGGGCTTTGCTTTGCACCACCGAAGTGCAAAGCGTTCCTCCAGGATTGGCAGGGTTCGCCCCCTTTGCTGACCCTTGGTGGGGACCAGCTAGAAGTTCAGAAATTCCATTACCTGGGAAGTTGTATCAGCGCCCTTGGGATCGACGATGAGATCACGAACCGCATAGCGAAAGCTCGAAGTGCTTTTGCTAACCTTCGCCACTTATGGCGGCGCAACATTACACTCGCCCTGAAAGGTAGAGTGTACAATGCAGCGGTACGTTCGACCTTACTGTACGGTTGCGAAACCTGGCCCCTAAGATCGGCGGACATGAAGAGGCTACTTACGTTTGACCATCGGTGCCTTCGCAGTTTGGCCCACATATGGTGGGAACACCGCATGAGTAACGAGCGTGTTCGACGCATTGTTTACGGTCCAGGAAAAGGATCTGAACCGCTCAGCACCGTTATTTCCCGCACGAGGATCCGATGGCTCGGCCACGTGTTGCGAATGCCAGCCCACGGACTCCCTCGACGTGCGTTGTTTGCTCACCGGGGATGTGGGTGGAAGAAGAGGAGAGGTGGCCAAGCGATGACTTGGTCCAGAGGAATGAAGGCCCTCACTTTTGAGCTGGCCTCAGTTGGAGCTTCACGGCTTCCTGGTTGGGGTCCAAAAGACGGTGAACACGTTTGGCTGGATACACTTGCTGATATGGCAAGGAGCCGACCTCAGTGGCGTTCCTGCTGTGAGTTTCTTTGTCCCTCCCCATCCCTTTAGCCTCCCCCTCCATCTACGATCTTATTTCGTAGGGTAAAACGTAATTAAATTTTTGTTTTTGCCTAGTAGCCGGCTGGTAGCTTACCGGAACGATGCGTATCCGTTGCTGGTAGCTCAGCTGGCATGCAACTGTCGTATTTATTTTTCCTTTATGTATTGTATGTATGTATTTCCTTTATGTATTGCGGTACAATAGCGGAGGTGTTTTACCATCTCTAGCTGACATGTATAATGATGATGATGATGATGAGACACTCGGAGCTGTTCGCAACGGATTGATGAAGCATAGACGTCGGTTTTACTCTTCTTGGCTTTATCTTGTTTCGGCAATTTCCACATAAAGTTTGAACGAAATCGTGTTGGATCTCGCGAAGACAATGAAAATACTCAACTGATAATCCAACACATGAAATGTGGTATTTAACATGGTACAAAACACACGTGAGATCATTTGCACGGTATCCGACTATCTTGTAACAAGTCCCACAGAGTGATTGCTTCGGCATTGGGAATAATCCGAAAAGATGGCGACCAATTGCTGGAGAAAAGGGCGGTAGTACGGTGAAAACACAAGTATTTCTGGTCGGATAATTCAGAATCAGAATTGTATCGATCTAAGTTTTCACAAAATGCTTCCAATGAACGAGAAAATCCAACACAAAGTGATCTTGTCAACACAGCCAGGCATATTTTTCTCGTCTGTAGGTCTGTGACAATCACCTCAAGAGATCGGCTTAGTCGTGGCCAACAATGGAAAAAAGAAGTATAAAATATAGCGAAATACACATGTTGATACATAAGTGGTAAATATCCGACAAGTTCTGCTTCAAATTGTTAATAGGGCTTACTTAGAAAAATGAAAAATTAAGGAGTGATAATTCTATAAACGAGTTGTAGAGTGATTGGCATGGAAACTCGACTTTACAGAGCATCGGGAACTGCCAGGGTTAGTCTAGTTGCTTTTTTCGGGTAAGAAGAGATAACAGTTAGCAGTGCGCAGCAAATGTAAAAACGGAAAGGCACATCAGTTTTTCATGGTGGGAAGCGGGGTTGCGTGATATTGCAGTGAAAATAAGCCTAATGCTTTAACTAAACGAGGAGCACGTTATTCAGCCACTTTACACATATTATCTTGCAGTTGTCCATGTGTACTTATACTTCAACATCTTCAAATATCATCTGCAGTCCAATTTCATAAGTTCTTTAACTTGCAACACATGGAGTTACGTAACCGGCATTTTTCGAAACGATTTTTTAGACTCACAAAACCGCAGTTCATTAAATGGCCTGTTCCAGATATCCGAGTACTTTGTCATCTAACACTTCCTGCGTCTGTTTGTTTAGTTCTACTTATAGAAAGCGAATTCCTCTTATTTCTGATGTCATACCTTCCATTGTGAATGAAGTTTATACTATTGTGCGGGGCAAATACACGTTTGTCCACTAAGTCGAACAGAAACTTCAGGTCCAGTTTCAATCTCCGTAGCCACAATGGCTCTAGTTTATGCAGTATACAACGCTCCGAATAATTTGGCGTTGAATGTTCGGTAAATATGTCTTTGGTGAATCGACACTGCACATTTTCCAGCTATAAACGATCGCGTTTCCTACAACTGGTAAGTATCGTCGAGCAGTATTTCAAGAGAGGGTGCCCGCAGATCTTGAACGTTTACCGCTTGGATTCACACACTGCCAGTGATTTGAAGATTAGCCTTGCTGTTTGACGGGCTTTGGCTGCTATGTATTCGATCTACTCCCCAAAATTGAGGGTGCTTGAATAATGTATACCCCAGTTTCTTGTTGTGTTGCGAAACGGAATTGGCTTTCCGCAGAGGTATAAGGTGTCCATATCAATTTTGCATCGATACGCTAATATCCGCACCTATCTGCAGCGATTGACATTTGCCAACTATCACACCATTTGTTTCAGGAGCCAATAAACGTCTCCGTATCTTATCCAAAGTGTGTTTTCGATCTCTTGGATTAAAATTTTACAGTATCTTAATATCATCAGTATATCTGTTCTTACCTACCCATCGCTGCTGTTGAAACGAATGTCACTTCTCCGTAGAACTTATCACTCATTAGTCTGCTAATCCTTAACCTCACAGGCACCACCACAGCCATTGCTCAGTCATCGCAGCCTCAAGGTCTGCAGCACAACAGTGTGGATGCATTTTTTGCATCTCTATGCCAACCTCTACTGTTCGGAGATGAGCGAGACACCATCTTAGCCCGATGGAATCAGTTGCAATCAATGTGGGGCTCTGGAACGGGGTTCAGCTCTCTTGGCATCGCTGTATACACTCCCGAGAACACCTTTGCCCGGTTCAAGTCAGTTGCTTATAACTTGCTACCAACAAGTACGGACGCGGATGGACTCGTGTGTCTTTACCTTGCCCGACCATTTGCCGAAGTTATGTCCCAACGGCAAGGGTTACAGGACGTTTTGTTTCGACTGTTAGGAGGGCGACCGAATCTGCAATTGATCATTGAAGAAATTCGGCCCTGCGCGGAACAGCAAAATCAAACAGAGGTCATCTTATCAGTGGTCGAGCGGCAAGTCACAGGTACGTTACAACACCCGCTATGTTCGTGGCACGATTATTCTATTGTCAGTTTGCTTGATTGGTCTTTTCATTATGTCAAGCCCTCCAGTGTGCACTTTGAGAGCCTTCCATCCTCTCTTTCTGTTGTTTCGATTTCGCGACTGCTTCAACTAGCTAATGGTTGTGAATTTTACTGGTTCATTTCAGCTGCACACAAGCCAGATTAGTCTAACACTAATCCGGAACAGCACCAGACGTTAGTTTCGCCCTGTTGGGGCTCGTCAGTGGTGCGCATTCCCTCAGTCCTCTGCTGGGTATCGAACCCATGACAACTAGCAGTTTATGCCGTTGAAACATGGGGGGACGGAGGCAGACCGTCCAGTATAAATATCATCAAGAATCCTCCTACTCATCACTAATCTAACAATGCCCTCACAGTCTACAAGTGCTATGCGGACATAGCTACTGTGTAGTGGAAGTCGTAACCTCGGAGGCCAGCCACTGTCCTCTGCAATGGTAGGAACCTGCATGACACTGTATCCTAGTTAGCTTACAAGTTCAGCCTGTCTGCCTCCGTTCCCCACGGCTCAGTGGCTTAAGCTGTTGGCTATTTGGCGTAAGCTGCTAGCCTACATGGGTTCGATCCCCAGCAGCAGAACGAAGAAACTCCCACCACTGACGAGCCCCAATAGGGCAAAAGATCGTCTGGTGCTTTTCCGGATGGGGTTTAGGTTAATATGGCGTGTGAGCAGCTGGGATGAGCCAATAAAAATACATCAAGAATCCTCTTACTCATTAGTAATGGCTGTGAGAACACGAACGAGCAAGAACGGGATTCTTTAAATGGACAACAGCATTGTTGATATATCAATGAAGGCAACAGACGTGTGGTTATCGATATCGACCAGCGTACTGAGCAATGCTGATAATGATGGAGCAAGTTATGGGCCAACCGGATGCACACAAGGGGAGAATTCAATTTTCAGGTTTGTCGCGGCGCTGTGATGCACAGCGAGAAACAATGTCTTTAAAGAGCTAGGGAGGTTAGCGAAATGAAACGTTAAAACAAGTAGCAAGAAAATGAAAGACTACAGTTATGGACGTTTACATAAGCACATTAGATGTAACGATGGAACTACGTAAATCGCATTGCGTCGCACAAGATGTATAGAAATAATGCAACTTCGAGTTATTAACATAGACTATACACATGGTCCGAACATAAAGCAGAAGATTTAGTAATATAATCCTGTAGCCGTCTTTCTAAAGGTCAGAATAATATACAAGACAACTTTTCGCTAGATTTGCAATATGCGGGCAACGGACGGAAACAGTTAGCCACAACCTCAGTGTTATTAGCAGACTGATGAAGATGGGATTTTGAGACATAAAGTGCGTGCAACTGAAGCGAATGCATAACAATGGAAAAGTAGAAATCACGAGGAGTATGTTATCATTTCGGGAAGGTGGAACAAGGTAGGGATAGGAGCACTGGGTCATCGGAAGGGAATGATCTGCCGAACGCAGGAAATCAAAGTTCTTTTAAACTTTACACTTGTGTTGTTGTCGTTCTTCTAACACTCCATGTGCTCTTAAAAACCTCAGGTGCACTTCAGTACCATTACACCTGGGGCCATTAGGCACCACACTTCCGCTGATTTGAGCTTCATCCAAGTGAAATCTGGTGCATACCTAACGTTGTTTGAACAGTCTAGTCTGTTTTATGGGCTTCACTCGATTCCCTGGTTCCATTGGCACGGTATGCATGTTTACTCTTTCTGTAATCTCAACGGGGAAAGAACGACGTGACATGTGTTGGTCCCGTCGCTGCGTTTTTTTCCATAATTGAGCCGTTGAACACGTGTTGTCTCATAATCACGGTTTATTCCTACATGTCTCTCATTTGTCTGTGCTTACTTTGCGAACTGACACCTTGGGTACCACCGGTGCGATGCTGTCATCTCGATTCCTAATCACGGAATAAGGTTTCCATACAACTTTTCGAGCTATGGAACACACGTTTCTGAAGGCGAAACTACCATCCAACCAAGGTATGTTGGTTTTCCATATTCACTGATAAGCTTTTAGGTCCATTGCTAGTCAGCTACTCAAATGTTGCACCATAGCCTTTGGTGTGCCCATGTGGTCTCACCTGCATGGGCCGACGTCGAAGCACCCACGACACCACTGCAGGCCAAACGGGGCTTCAATGCGTCATAGGAATGAGCAATATACGGCAAAATTATGCGGCCTACAAATGCATCTTTGCGAAATAGCAGCCAGAAACCTAATTGGGCATTAGAGGGGGTCAGGTGACATTCAAATGGGTTAACACAACGCCGATATGAATTAGTCCCTAAAAATGAAGCCAGGTGCAGTTGATGCAACCCTCTACAAGTACGTAAGCGTACTGTGACTGTTCAAGAGCTTGGTTCACAACTCATGTCTCTACCTCGTTTTCCTTGTTGCAGGTGGCGTGACCAAGGTAAGCGCGAGCGAGCTTGAAAAATATCTATCCTCCCCTGCAGTTGCGTCACAGTTGCAATCGCAATTGTGTGCTTGCAAGGTTTCAGCGGAAGTGTGCCCTTCTTTCGCTCAGTTATCCGCCTTCAAAGAAAACCCCCCAGCCGGTATCGACAGACTGATTTGGCAACAGGTACATTTTACTAGGCCAACTTAAAATACCGATTACCCATTTGGTTACTAAAATGTTCTTTTTGTCCACTGAATCTAGTAATTTTATTATAGACGATTCCTCACCAATTGAGATGCACGTGGGTGAAGGTTGTTATTTCCATCGAGCTAAAACGAAATTTCCGATACACTAACAGGCAAAATGGGGTAGGGAATTCCTCGAAGTTTGGTTCGCTTAAAGAATTATGTGTCAGCAATTCAAATGGGAAGAGTTCAAGCGGATTAATTCCGTCGCTTGTGACCACGTAACAGGCTTTGACAACGAACGGCGCGTGTTGCATAATCTCTTGTACGTTACGATCGTTTCACCAATAGAATTGCAGAGATTTATCCTACATCGTAATGATCTTCCCGACGGCCAGTAGCACCAGCTCAAGTATTCTCAGGGGGTGACCAATCGCCCACCTGGATTCTGTAGTGATGACCAACACGATAGCAGGTAGCCTTCATCACCGGATTTGCCCAAAGTTCATATTTCGCAGTGTAAACTGTTTATCACGACACTGGAGATCCAGCGCAGACCTGTGCTAAGACACCTGCTACCGAATTGAGCAGTTTGGTTCGCGTCTCAACGACTACTTAATGAAATCCACCGGTAGATGTGCGGACGTGCTATTTCATAGCGCAATTCTATTCTGTTGTTCCTCAGTTTGTTACCTTTTTCGTGTTTTCTTGTATATTTGTTTACTCACCTTTCGTTTGCTTTTTTCAGGCGTGTATGGATAATCCTTTTCCGGACAGCGCTGTTCCAGTCCCTTTGGTTGGATTCGCTGATCTTCGCCGCCGTAAACTCGACCAAATTGCCTTCAACCAACAGCAGAGTAATGTTCTCAAAGTGTGTTACCAATTTTCAACTGAAGCCTGTTGAAACTCCCTTACCGAGCACCACCACCTTTTCGACTCGATGGTCTCCGTCACACGTTGCTTTTTCTATAATGCGCTGCTTACTTATGAGTAGTTATTCGTTAAAAATATTTGCCTGATGGACATCGTGCCCAAATATTTCATTTTTCCCCCATGTGATCGATAGTGTCCTCATCATCAAACATTCCCTATTCACTCCCTTTATGTTTAGCAAATCGGCAAAAAGGTGCAAGAACTGAAAACAGGGCAGTTGAATATCACACAAAAAGTGAACCAACTCAAACGGAAGCAAGTTGAAATTAGTCATCGAGTTTTAAAAGTACGTACATTTTCTTCTATTTTGTTTGCCCCCTTTCAGTGGCACTATGGCTGTATTTTATTTCTCCTTTTTCGATTTTATCTTGTTGCATTACATCTAGAGTCTTACCATAGGTAATTTTCAAGCGTGCAATTTGCGATTCTGATTGAGGTTCCTGACTGCGACCTCCTATGATTGCGACTGGAGGATTATTTCGACTTAGAGCCATTGGGGTCACTTCTTCGTGGCGCATAGAAACATCATATTCAACTGAATTCTCATCGCTGACTCTCCACCTTTAATGATGATGACAGTAGAATATAATGCGGTAAAAACCGCGGCGTCAAACTGACTTACTTCGCCTCTAAAGGAGGCATGCTCTATCGACTCCCTTTTCCCTAAAGGATTCGAGCCAGCGAAATCTGTACTGCAAACCACCACGGTTGTGGATGTCTCACGCATATATATATATATATATATATATATATATATATATATATATATATATATATATATAATGCGGAGGAAGGCCAATGGTGCGCTGAGACTAGTGGTGGCTAAATCCTGACAAACCGTCCACCCACTGCTTGTCATGTTGTGCCGTGGGTTCATGTCCTGAACGGCTCCTCTTGGCAACCGCTGGGTGAGAGTTGGGTTTCGTCCTTCTCCCTGCTAAGATTCAGGACACCAATCCACATGAGTCAATGAACCGACCATGTGCTACACCCGCTGCCTGTGTTCCTTTAATCGATGGTTTTGGCTGAGGACCCGAGTCGTTCTCCTGTCATGTGTGGGCGCCTTGCCAGTATCCTAGTCCATCCTCTTCGGAGGTTAGGAAGTGATTGATGGTCCTCTTCTCGTAAAACCTAGCCATGGGAGACAACAGGTCTACTAGTTATCAACTTACAGCTCGATTGGCGTAGAGCACGAACGCCACACCTTGTTTCTGACCGGGAGATGGCACCTCCGGGTGTTCAATGATTTGCTACTGCCCGCCTCAAGCCAGGCAGCCCCTGGTCAAATTGGTGCAAATCCGCCAAAACCCACCTGCGTCTGGCCGTGGTCGCAGGTGTATCCTACTACGGTCGCAAAACATATATGAATCGTTCCAGTACCTCAAAGGCTGCGTGTGACGGCCGTCAAGCAGATCCCAATCTGTCTGTGCAATCACATTCCCGAGCTGGATCTGCTCCCCACTGACTTGTGGCTCAGGCCATTGAGCCAAAGGCGCCGGGTGGAGTCTCAAGCAATCCTTCAAATCACGCACTGCCTTGTGGGTCGGGATATTGAACCAAAGGCTCCGCTGGAGTCCCTCAAACAAATCTCCGAAGCATAACTACCACCACGCATGCGATTGTCCATCTATGCAATCGTCGGCCTGCGCGCAAAGCACTCAACATCAGGTGCTGGAACGTGTGCACACTACTGGACCGGAACTCGAGTGAACGCCCGGAGCGACGCACTGAACTGGTAGCGATGGAGATGGCACGCTATCACACCGATATTGCGGCGCTCAGTGAGACCCGGCTCGCTGTGCAGGGTAAGTTGTATGAGGCTGATGCCGGTTATACGTTTTACTGGGTGGGGAATGCCACCTTAGCACTATATGAACATGGGTTGGATTGTCACTAACTGATCGCCTAAATAGTTAATTGGAAGTGAATCAACAGGCATTAGCGCGCGACTGATGGCTGTCCTCCTACGACTCGGAAGATGTATGTTTGCCACTTTTATGAACACGTACAGTCCGACCATGTGTTATCCTCGTGACACGTGTACTCGATTCTACACTCAGTTATCCTCCGCGATACGATCTGTGCCGAGGAGCGACCGACTGTTTCTGCGGGGTGATTTCGACACGCGCATTGGACTTGATGCATCGGTGTGGACGGAAGTTATCGGTCCGCATGGCATTGGTTCAGCGAATGCGAACGGTGGCAGGCTGCTCTCACGGTGTGCCACTACCGGTCTGACGGTCACGATCACTCGGCTTACGCTGAGTGTGAGTGATATAGCAACTTGGATGCACCCACGGAGTGGTCACGCTCACCTGCTCGATTATGTAATCGAACGCCAACGAGACATGCGTGAAGTGCGCATGACACGTGTACTACGTGGAGCTGAATGTGACATTGATCACAAGTAGATACGGGCGATATTGTGCATATCTTGACGTAAATCTACGCATTGTACTCCTGCTTTGAACCGGCAGAAATATTCTGTTCTTCCACCAAAGCCTGTGGAGAAGAGGATGGATCTGAAAAAGTCAATGGCTGCACGTCTGTGCGATGTGCAATGTATAGCCACAATGGGCGACCTGTGGCACTACATTCGCGACCACGTGACAGCTGCTGCCGTGGAGACCATCGGGCGCGCATACTGTATGCATCCTGACTGGTTTGATGAAAACAATGCGAAAATTGACGCATTGGCGTCGGAGAAGAATGCAGCATTTGCTGCACATGTCGCAGACCCCAGTAACTTGGAGAAGAAGAGTCGGTTTCGCAAAATTCGACGGCGACGGACCCGAGAGCTCCGTCGCATTAAAAATCCATGGTGGACGCAGTGAGCGAAGCAGATGGAATGCTACGCCGAACGCAGTCAACACGAGGAATTCTTGGACTACTTGAAGGCGGTGTATGGACCGAGATTGGAGCCGCTGAGGACACTGATCGATGGTAGTTCAGGCGCTACCTGCACACAGACTGCAGACATAATGCAGATCTAGTGAAAACACTAACTGTCTCTTAACCAACCGTTCAGCCATCGACTGGCCTATTTACAACGACCTGAAGCAGCACGATGTGAAGGCGAGTCTGGCAGTGGATGTGACGCAGAGAGCATTTGCTCAGCTGCAAAACGGCAAGTGTGCTGGGGCCGAGGGGATCCTGTCTGAAGTATTGGAACACGGCGGACCCGCGTTGTTGACTGCGCTGCACCACTTGGTACAACGCGTGTTATTTGAAGAGGAGGTGCCTCCTGAGCTGAAGGATGCCTCTGTGCTACCACTGTACAAGGGGCGAAGGGAGCAAGCAATGTTGCACGAATTATCGTGGTATTAATTTGCTGAGTTGTGTGGACTAGGTAATTGCCCGAATCCTGCCGAACCGCCTCGTTAGTCAGGTTGTGGAACCTAACGTGGCGGAAGAGCAATGTGGATTCCGTTCGGGTCGCAGCACTATAGATATGGTGTTTGCGGCTCGTCAGTTGCAGGAGAAATGTAGCGAACGACACCATCCGTTGAACTTGCTTTCTGTTGATTTCACCAAGGCATTTGATACGGTGAACCGCGAGACGTTGTGGCTGGTGTTGGGTAAGTTTGGTTGCCCGCGTAAGTTTGTAAGTTTACCTGAATATCTGCACAGTGGTATGCGGGCAAGGGTGCAGCTGAGTGGAGAGACCTCTGATGACTTTGCAGTTATCTCTGGTGTGAAGCAAGGCTGTGTCTTAGCTCCTGCCCTGTTTAATATTTATCTTCCTGCAATGATATGCTTTTGATGCGGCTTGTGCTTACGATGTTCGTGTGGAGCACCGTATTGATGGTGGGTTGTTGAACATCCGTCGTTTCGGTGCGAGAACTCTAGTGTGTGAGACAACTATCCGTATGTTGCTGTTTGCTGACGACTGCGTTGTTTGCACACAGCGCGGATGAGTTGCAGCACATGACTAATGCTCTGGCTTCGAAAGCGGCAAAATTCGGGCTCACCATCAACACAAGCAAAACGGTCTGTCTCTTTCACACTTCAACGTAGGTGCACTCTTCAATATTGCCGCAAATCAGCATTGGTGTTGAAGTATTGGAAACCGCCTCCTGTTTCTGCTACCTTGGGAGTGTGATGAGTGACCAGCAGCTACACCGTGAGCTGCGTATCCGTGTGTGGAAGGCAGCGGCGGCGTTCCGGAAGCTAGAGTACCGAGTATGGAACAACCATCAACTTACCGTTGGCACGAAGCTGATCGTGTACAAATCCATAGTGCTGTCCGTTCTTCTAAACTGCAGCGAAACGTGGTCAATGTACCGGCAACACGGGAGATATCTCGAGTGATTCCATCAACAGGGTTTGCGATTGATTCTGCGCATCGGTTGGGGCGCCAGAGTTGCAGACACGGAGGTGTTGCGCCGATGTATGTATGCAGTGGACTGCATACTTTTGCTGCGACACTTGAGGTGGCTCGATCATGTGAGCCGTATGGATTCGACGCGGATACAGAAGCAGCTGTTATGTGGTCAGCTGAGTGTTGAGAAGCGGCATGTGGAGAAACCAAAGTTACGTTACCAGGACATGATCAAGGGGAGCTTATCACGTTCTGTTATTGACTTCAGGTGTTGGGAATCGAAAGCGGTTGATCGGCGTTCATAGCACGATCTGATCACGAAGGCCGTTGTCAAGGTGCAGGAGAAAGACCTTATGCATGCGGAGAAGGAACTGCAGGTGCGGAAGCGGCATGCACCGATGAATTGTTCTCCATCGACTTCGAGCGCATGGTACTGTAGGACATGCGGTCGCGTGTGCTGGAGTCAGGCAGGCGTAGTAGCCATGAGTAGGCAGGCGTAGTAGCCATGAGTGAGGCCACTCGGGTCACCACCGAAGTGACGACAGGTCCTGCAGAGAACGTAGGCAGAACCGGCGCAGCGTTTGTAGGTACACTGCATTCGATTTACTAACCGCGTGTTCGCATGCTGAGTCCTTTATTTCAGGTGGTGGGTTTGCTATAGATTGGTAATGCTTACTTTGTTACCTGGTTTTAATGTCTATCTGAATAATCCTCTTTTTACTTGCGCACGTCTCTCAAACGAATTCCGTTAAATTTCTTCCCGTTTGTTTCTTTTATTTTTTGATATCTTTTTCTGCTATCTTGAATTCCTCGTTGATATGTTGGGAACACATTTATTTCATTTGCTTATTGAGTGAAGAGTTAAGTCTGCATATCCGTATGCTTTTTTATTTTATTTGTTATCGTCATTTCAGGTTATTAGCTATTGCTTGATATCCCTGGTGTGACTGCGCTAGATGTGCTCGTTGACAAGGTACCTACTTGTCTATTATCCCACTACCTCGTTTAAACTGGCTCCAGGAGACAGTTGGTCTTTGCTGGAGACGGCGAGTTGCACCGTCCTTGTGGCCGTGCTAGGCTCCAAGAGCGGTTCCATGCACTCAGTGTGGAGCGGACTACGGTCCAGCGCTTGATTCCCCAAATACAGCATTTTATGTGGGCCGCTTCTGTTGATGAAACGTGGCTTCCATGCGTATGCCTCCCGATCTTATTCCTTTGGGTTTACACTTTATATGAGGTGTGTTGATGGAACTGGTCAGTGCAGCGCAAGCCAACCATTGTCCCACGGCAGGCACCGGCGTCCTGTTGGTGTCCTGCAGAGGCCACATTGACAGGCAAATCCGAAACCGGCTGCCTTCAACCTTATTGCTATCAAATTACATCCATCAGGCACAAGTGCCCCTAAATGCCACTGTCAATTGTGTTTCCAATCAATATTAACCAATGGCATCCCATTCTCTATGTTTATCTCATGTTATCGGCTTATTTGGGACTTGTTTCACAACAGTTTGCGACCGTTGGATGCATTTTGAAAGCGTTAAGGAGCATTCTGAGTGATCTATGAAGGAACACGATTTCCTTAGTCGTTTTTTGTTAGCGCTGTGAGTGCATTTGACTGAGAAAAGGTATAGTCCCGGTCTAACACATGTGTCTGAAGATCAAGGCGTCGGTGAAATGTCTACTATCTAACCCGATGTCTAACCGGACACTGAGCAAGGCCATTCAAGCGAACCTCAGGACGGAAGCGCAGCGGAATTGCAAAAGTTACTTCTTCAATGTTATGGGGAACTTGACAGTCTTTCATCGACTGTCTTTAATGTTCTTGTCTTCTTCTTTGGTGATAAGTTGCTTTTGTTCTGCTTAAAAAATTAACTGTTGTTTTGTTTAATATCCGTCCGTTTTCGCTTGCAAAACGTCCGTTTCTGTAAAATGTCACGTTTAGTGCACAAACTGTCTGGAAAGTACACGTCAAAGCAACAGTCCTAGTTTTTCTTGATTGACAGTAATCCCCAAAGTCTGCCATTTCTATACTGTGACTCTCGAGACCGTGTGACCAAGAGTAGACCTTGCGGCATTGCTGTTCCATCAGCGATTGCCACAAGGGTCGGGGATTTGACAGAAAACACATTCGCTAGATGGGATAGTTAAAGATCAAATGTGGAAAAGTATACACGAAAGAGCCACTGGCTTCGTGATATGATAGGGTCACGAGATCACTGACGCAACTTCTTTTCCCGTCTCCTTATATCAGTTCACAGTACTGTTATGTTACCGGCACCAATACTACGGATTTTCGAAACTCGGTCGAATTTAGAAGCAGCGAGGGTGGGATGTCCAGTATACTGCAGCGTTTTTTGTATTTCTTTAGTTGCATCAGAGACATGGGTACTGTGTGCTAAAAACGCCAGAAACGACTGATTTTGTAAATCAGTGTTTACTAATCACCGCTCACATGTCGTGAGACTGGCGGCTGGATCACTTAGACATCAGGCAACTGCTGTTTCTAGCCAGACACTGGCACCATACTGCGTCTTCAGTTGACTGTGTCCAATCGTTTATTCTGCTTCGTCAACCACCTCATGCGGCCAGTTTTTTCCTACCCTACACTTCGGCAATGACATTGTGAAAACCGCTAAAATAGAACGGGTAGGTTTAATCAGGTTGCTACATGCCGTTTTTTGTAGTTTAAACGAAGGTTTTAAGCCTGTCCGTCGTAATGGTCCTTGCAACATAGGAGTGCATACTGCGCGATGCTACTGGTGATTGTAACGAAGCTGACAACGTGAGTCATTGCTCCTTCTTACACAACCTTTGCGGGCACCCCCTAGCGTAGATGAGGTGTAGTGGTTCGAGCGCGTTCGGCTTGCGTCCTTTAGACTTCTGGTTTGCGTACCGGGCTATCGCATAGGTTTGGGCGCCCTTGCAGTCCATATCTAACCGCTTACGGTTGCAAAGCCTCTACGAACTTATTATGCACCACTGATAACTGTTACTGGAAATGCCTCCCTCTGAAAAGCTCATCGCTTGCATTTCGTAACCGATGAATATTTGTGGAAACAATCATTTGTAGGTGCTTCGGCGCCAGGAAGTGCATCGGCGATCCGGTTTTGCAATCGGCGCAGACGAAGAGGCGTTACGCTGTGGGTTGGAACGAATTTGGGCCGAACTTACCTCCCCGCGTGGTCTCCGGGTGCGGTTTCAGGATGCCTTGTCCAACTTCAAACTGAACACAAATGCACCCGATGGCGGCAACAAAGAGAACTCCCTGAATTCCAACACCGATCCAGCCTACGGCGACGGACAGGTTGAATGGAATTTGGACGCGGATTCTTGGGCCGAGTTAAAGGAGGTGGGTTGCATTATCGCTTTATATTTTCTCCTTGGTGTGATATTTGCATTTTTTTCCCTGAACGTTGCCGCTTCTCAGGTGCTTTGCACCCTTCGATTCTCATCCTGTGGGTTCATATCCGCAGTTGTTGTCTTTGCTTTTGCCAACTTCTTTCTCTAGATTCTTCTGCTAATAGTCACATGGTGTTTGTGCCTTCAATGCGGTTTGGAGTGACGCTGTCGTATGTCCACCCCCATATCTAGTGTAAAGCGGACAGATTTAGATTCTATATTTCATAAACTTGCCTTAGCTTGGGAATTGCACACAGCCGTAACAGACGCTCACCGGTGTCAATCTATTCAGGGTTAAGCCCATAATTATCACCCAGCTAAGCTTCTGAAGAGCACAGACGCCCTACTTGTGCGTTCATATCCCCTGCAAGTACTATAATATCGGCACTAGTAGCACTGCGAAGTAGCGCGTTCAGTTCATGATAGAATGTGTCCTTGACAGCATTAGAACTGCAGTCGGTGGGAGCATAAGCGGAAATCACAAACAAACAGCGTTCTGTACTACTTCGTGAATCAACCTTAGTTACTATCGTCAACCAGACTGCACACAAACGGCTGTTCACCTTAATCCAATCAATCTTGGAGCTGAGAAAGGTGCCCACTCCAGCTTGACCAGTGATTGCAGCATCAGCGTCTCCGGATAAGTGCAACCAATAGCGAAAGGATGAGTCGGGTGCAGTTAATTCAACAACCCCATTAGAGTCATTGATCCTAATTTCGGATACACAACCCACGTCAATATCCAGTGTGTCTAACATGCGTGCGAGTGTAGTCTATTGACCTGTTTGTCTTAGAGTGCGAACGTTGAACGCCGCTAGGAAAACGGGACAGTTTGACCTTACAAGGGACTGTTGCCGATAGGCGTCCACTGGGTGGTGCGAGAAGAAACCTGCAGGTGGTGCGACTCCTGTGGCATTCCGGTTGCTGTCAATTAAGCTGGGGACTATAGCAGGTAGGTTAGTAATTGGAGTTGGGAGGGGAGTAAGAGAAACAGGTGTAAAGTAAGGAAGTGAGACACCAGCAGTAGCATGTTCTCATTTATCCGCCCTGCTGTATGCAGCAGAAAAGGCGAGCCTTGATAATCTGTACGACGGCCGATACAGGATGTGGTTGAAGTTTAAGGAAGTTGTCATGGTTGTATGTTGGCTGAGATACTGCCGGGGCGTTCAGACTTAGACAGGACGATTAGGGTCTTCAACCAAAGCCTTTGGCTCAAAAGCCTACCAACAAGGCAGTTGGGTGTGGTGGCAATGATTTACTTTTACAGATATGAGCGCCATCCTATTTCAAGCCCCCACATGGAGGCCCAGGAGACTGAGTTTGTCTGACTTCTAACTATTGACCAATCTGGTAGGTGTAACTCTCAAGGGTCCGGGGCACCACCTAGTATGACTCAATGGGTCGACGAGGTACGCAAACCGTCGCACCACGTTAAGGTCTAGTCTCGTTGCGACAGAATTCGGTACCGGACACACTTCAAACAGGCGGCCCGACTGGGGAATTTCAGCAAACGTGCGACGGACATTTGTTGCTTGTCATTTCCTGTCAAGCTTCAAGTCTAACCCCAGCGGAGTCGCATGAACTCCATCTTGGGAGTCCGAGAGTGACTAGCATTGCCCATTTTAATGGCTGACGGCTTCGTTTTTCTCTCCCATATATATATATATATATATATATATATATATATACTTATATGTAAAGGAGAGAATAAGTCAGAGGAATGGAAGCAAAGTTCCATGTGTTGTGTGGGCATGGAGCTTCCCGGTTGCCCAGCCCGTGGAAGTCTTTCTTCCGGTGTTTGTACCTAAACTGAATTCGGCTGAAAGAGAGTCGTGTTGCCGGCGTTCATCGTCTTTTCAGCAGGTATAAGCTTTGGCCGATTAGGAATGCCTCTCCGCCATATGCGTCGCTTGGGTCTAATCGCCGTGAATGTGACAAGTCGTGCACTTCCGATCGTATGACCTGGATGTTCTTATTGTCTGGTGCACTACAGAGTCGAAAGTTGAAAGATAGCCGTGTTGTGTAAATGAGCAGTTATGGCTTCCAACGGTTATTAGCACCACTCAGCGACGCCATACTCGAATCGAGCTCAGCGACTTGGACATTTATTTTTCTTCTTTGAACTGCATTTCCGGTATTTGAACTTCAATGGTATGTGTATTATTTTACGTTCAGCTGCACATCGCAAGATTGCGTGTGCATGTTACTTATCAACCCTCTGCACAGTTCGTAACTACCATGGCAATGGAAGATGAGCCCGGCTATATCATAGTCATTTGTCAATCACGTAGGTCCGCGGCTGTCACCCATCGCTTGGCACTAGTTGCTGGCTTCCAGAAGTCAAGGGCGGAACCCGGCAGGAGTACGCTGGAAGGTGCTCCACTGACATGACGCAGAAGGTGGAGATGCCGGCGTCTGGTGTTTTTCCCAACTAGCTTAAGCCTTCTGGTTAAGAGTGACCATGATGAGTTAGCTGAGATATACACAGTTTGTTGTTGTTGTCGTTAACTTTTTTATCGCTCGCTTAGATTATATCGAAGCAAATCTTGGAAGCATACGATTGGCCGAGGTATTAAGAGTTAGGTGTAGTTCACTCGCGCACAATTCCCTCTTTCCAGTTTCCTATGCTGAACTCATTTCCTCGTTTATTTACGGGCCTGTGTTTCGCCCAGGTTCACGTGGCTGTGTTTCCTCAATGTCTATCCGATCACTTTGCCTCCCTACCTCTCCTCCCCAGTACTTGGCACAGCGACAAAGTGGAATTCGAGAGCTACAGCACTTGATCACTGAAATGTCGGCTACAGTGAAAGTAATGGAACAAATCCCTTTAAAGCCCGCGATCCAAAGCCCTGTTCCACCGTTTTCCGGCCGTCTTCGCACCACTCCCAGCAAGGTCTCATTCACGCTTAGTGGCCTGGCTCGTTGATCCCAACCTATTTCCAGTACAGCATTATTACAGTCGTGTACAATTTCATGCGTACCATTCCTCTCCAATGTTTCAGGCATTTACTTGCCTTCTTCACTTCTCTGTCACAATTCAAGTATCCGGTAAAAATATAATGTTGAAGTGAAATACCTCGCTCGCTTTCAATGAAGTATCCAGTACTCACGATGGGTTTTGCCTTTTATATATGACAGGAGAACCCATGGTGTGCTGAGACTTGTGTTGGCAAGCTCATGACTGATCGTCGACCTGCTGCTGCTGCTACCGTTGTGCCGTGGGCTTATGTCCTCGTGGCGACCACTAGGTGGGAGTTGGGTTACACCCTCCTTCTAGCTACGTTCCAGGACACACAATTCCGCTTGTGTCGCTTCACTGAATCATGGCGCAGTGCTCACTGCCTTTCCGATGTATGCTTTATCGAAGTCTGGATGAGGACCCAAGTCGTCCTCCTATCAGGTGTGGACGCCTTGGCAGTATCCTTGTCCAATTCCCAAATATGAATCACGGTATGTTAGTAGCTAAGGATTGAATCTGAACTCCATAATCCCCGATAGAGGCGTTTACTTACGCTTTGGATGTATCCGTTGATAAGCATATCCATTTACGGACATAATCTCTAGTCTATCCATGTGTTTCAAGATCTTCCGTTGAAGCTGAGAGAGGGCATGAATATGGTGAGGAATTAAAAACGTCCGTAAAATTTCCAGTCACTGATACGGTTTCAGGGGCGCTTTAGCTCATGCAAAAGAAAAACGGTTTTCTTTTCCAATTAACCAGAAGACCCAGTAGTATGAAACGTTCATCGGGTTGTATCGATGGGATGAAAAGAAGTTCCACAATTAAAGGGGGCATATCAAGAACTGTCAGTCTTCTCTTTCCATCCTCCACAATACTCGCAGTTCAGTTGTTTAATAGCCAGACTGTATAGCTGTTGGTGTTCTTGAGGACTACGCACGTATTTCTCCAAAGCTGTTCGATTTTCAGCAAAAATGCAAACCTCGTCGGCATGGGCTATTTAGTCGACACGGCTTACTGGAGATAACCAAGGCTTGTCTTCTACTACGGGCAGCGCTTCATCTGCTGTCATTAATGAAGATAAGGGGGTAAGGGGTCGCTCTGCCGAACACCCCGTTCGGGATGGAGGCTAACTTCATTATATACAGTGCTAACAGACGTATAAATGCCACAGGTACTCTAGAATGAATCGAGGTGCACCAGTTTCGGTAGCGCTTCGTAGCAATGTGTGATGAAAAATGAAATCAAAATCCTTCGAGATATCCACCGCCACAATGGCGAATGGCAGTGCGCAGCGTATGAAATAGCAGGGACCTCGAAACAACCGTCCTTGTGTTAAGGCCGAGTTGTAACCGATCGGGTGGGAATGAAGATACCAACAATCAAAAAGTATACATTACAATAGGCGCGTGAACATGGACGCGACGGAGATGGGGCAGAAGTGCTCTTCCGATGAGGTCGGTTTTGAGATCTTGGACACAAACGTGATTCTGGAAGCGTTCGTCTCTGGAGGAAAGGGAGAGAAAGCGAGTAAGGGAGAAAGTAGAAACAAACTGTCGGTCCATTTTCATTGCCTGCTTTGCAGTAATGCGATCCACACTCCCAGTGCGCGCTACTTTGCATGTGTCCGAGCACTATGTGCATTTCGTCCTCGTTAATTGGTTTTGATTAGATCCATGTTCGGAGAGAGAATGGTTCATTGGAACCTTTTGCCAACTACTGGCGGCTCAAAGAGCACTAAATGAGCCTCTCGTGTCTTCCACTTTGAATTTCTCCAGTAGGTTTCGTAGACGGAAATATTACGTCATTTCCGTAGGTTAACTTAACGCTATCAAGCGGTGCGTTTCCAATACCAAGGGTCGGAAGAACATCATTATCAAGAGATGAAGTGGGTGGCTTATCATGCAAAGGTGTATAGGTATCACTTTGTAGCCGATGTTTTTACAACGCCGGAGACAGCTGTGGGCAAATTTGTTACTCGTATATCGTTTACAAACTACAATGAATGAATTTATACGAGTTAAGGTGTACTGCTTTGCAAGTCCCGTTGGGTGGTTTGGTGGGGTTATCGGAAAACAAACAGCTAGTACTTTAACTATGGAAAGAAAGACTTATCATTCGTTATGCTGTAGTCCCGCAACACGCGTAGTTTCACAGCACCCACAGTTAATAGAAAATAAATTCAAGATACACTCCAGGAGTAACTAACGACATGTAAGTAGATGAGTGCGTTATCCAGCCGTCTTGTAAGTACCGTTGATGTCGGTGCGCGGACGCCCTATTTGGGGAGAACATTCCAAGGATGACATACACGAATAGAAAAGAAATTCCTGCGGCACTTCAGACAACTACACTGTTCTGCGAGTTTCAGTGAGTAACCTCAGGTTTGTACTACTGCTGAGTTGCAGTCATTATCATCATTATTATACACGTTAGCTGCAGGTGGAAAACACCTCAGCTATTGTGCCCGCGATACAAAAGACAAGCAGAAGAAAAAAGCAGAGGCACATCGGCGGAGTCCCCAGTAACGGATAGACATCGTTCCGGAGAGCTGACAGCCGGCTATCGTGCCACGAAAAGGAGATTACATTATGCCTAACGAATGAGATTGTGATTGGAGAGGGAGACTAAGTAGGAGGGGATAGACAAAGGTACTCACAACACAAAGCCATAGTGGCCGGCTGCTAGCCATATCAGCAAGTGTGTCCAACCAAGCATGTTCATCGTCCTTAGGACCCCAGCCAGGCATTCGTGATGCACCAAACGATACCAGTTTCGAAATGAGCGTTTTCATTCCTCTCGACCAAGTCATTGCTTGACCTCCTCTTCCAACCGCACCCCCGGCGCGCAAACAATGCACGTCGCGGAAGTCGGTGTGCTGGCATGCGCAACACATGGCCCAGCCATCGGAGCCTGGTGCGTGATATACTGGTGATGAGCGGTTCACTCGCTCTTCCTGCACAAAATACACGACGCCGAACATGCTCATTGCTCACGCGATGCTCCCACCAGACATGAACTCAGCTGCGAACGCAGCGATAATCGAACTTGACGAGCCTCTTTATGTCTGTTGACCTGATGGGCCAGGTTTCACAAACGTATAAGAGGGTTTAACGGACAGCTGAATTATAAACTCTGCCCTTCAGTGCGGGAGTGATGTCGCGTTTGCGCCACAGGTGGCGGAGATTGGCAAATGCACCTCGAGCTTTTGCTCTGAGTTGCCATACCGTCCGCTGAATTTCTCCAATCGTTTCAGCCTCTGCCCTTATTGGAGATTGCGCATTCAAATGATGTACTTGGATGCCCGGATTCGAGGCTCCCTAATGCACTAAGTTTGTTTTTCAAGCATGGATACCTGGGTTGGATTGCTTATTCCACAGATGAGTGGACGTGTCGGAAAATAGAGGTGTCTGTTTGTCCGAATGCCCGTCGCAACAACCCAACATGTTTGTTATGTGCAGCTGATCAAGCGAAGCTTTGAGTCTTTCGGCATCCTCGGGGCTAGACACTTTTGACCACAGTTTGATGTCATCAGTGCAGACTAGACAATCGGTTTGAACTGTTGCTGGAAGCATGTTAATGTACAGTCTGAAGACCTTTGGACCAAGGACAGAGCTTTAGGGAACCCCACTGATCATAGACACAAGGACGGAGAATGTTCGGTTTACCTTCACATGAACGGTTCGTGCTTTCCGGAAGTCTGAAATCCAGAACAAGACGTTTCCGGTGACATCAACTCCCTGAAGTTTGAGCAGAAGCCGTTTGTGTGGCACTTTGTCAAATGCCTTGCTGATGCCAATGAAGATGGCATTAAGGTATCTCCTGACGTCTGTTGTTTTGGCCCATGCTTCTCTGGCAACAAGCAATTTTGTGACGCAGGATTCTGCCCTGCGGAATCCGTGCTGTAAGGGTGAGATTATGCATAAGCTCTCCCGGTGAACAGTGATGGCGCGCTTGATTATTATTTCCATAATTTTGCAGACATCAGACATTTCGGCGTGTAGTTCATAGGGTCCTGCCGGTCACTTTTGTATTTGGACATTATATTTCCCACTTTCCAAATACTACGTAAGCGGCCCTCCGCAAGTGAGAGCCGGATTACTTGGCACATCGGATCGGCGATGTACTCGGCCGACATCTTGAGGAATAGTGGGTTTTGTCCGTCAGGGTCTGGTGCGGCGTTAGGGTTCAAGCCTCGGACTAATCGCCTGACTTTCGAAGTTAATTTCAACTTTCTCTGGAGGTGGGGAGCACGTGGACACATCTTTGTTGGGCAGCGGTGGCTCCACCAAGTAGATATTTAGTACTGCGAGACCAGTAGATTGGCTTTCTGATTCTCGTGATGGAGTACAATGCCTTCTCCAGAGGCAGCTAGAGTAGGGATACCAACGCCCGTTTTGGTGTTTCGCCTTAGGTATGAGAAAAGTTTCTTCGAGCGCGTTAGCGATTGGACAGTCAGATATTATTCGTATTTAGCCTGCTTCTGCCTCTTTTTCAGAGTGCACAGGTTTCGGACCTCTTTATACTTTAAATAATCCGAAGTTAGTTTTTTACTCTTGAACACAGTCCACAGTTTACGCCGTCTCTTCAGTAAGTACCTCAACTCTCAGTCATCATCATCATCATTATACATGTCAGCTAGAGGTGGTGAAACACCTCCGCTATTGTACCGCAATACATACATACAATACATAAAGGAAAAATAAATACGACAGTTGCATGCCAGCTGAGCTACCAGCAACGGATAGGCATCGTTCCGGTAAGCTACCAGCCAGCTACTAGGCAAAAAGAAAAAAAATATTATGTTTTACCCTACGAAATGAGATCGTAGATGGAGGGGGAGGCTAAAAGGGATGGGGAGGGACAAAGAAACTCACAGCAGGAACGCCACTGAGGTCGGCTCCTTGCCATGTCAGCAAGTGTATCCAGCCAAACGTGTTCACCGTCTTTTGGACCCCAACCAGGGAGCCGTGAAGCTCCAACCGAGGCTAGCTCCGAAGTGAGGGACTTCATTCCCCTGGACCAAGTCATCGCTTGGCCACCTCTCCTCTTCTTCCACCCACATCCCCGGTGAGCAAACAACGCACGTCGAGGGAGTCGGTGGGCTGGCATGCGCAACACGTGGCCCAGCCATCGGAGCCTGGTGCGGGAAATAACGGTGCTGAGCGGTTCATTCCCTTTTTCTGGGCCGTAAACAAGGCGTCGAACACGCTCGTTACTCACGCGGTGTTCCCACCAGATGTGAGCCAAACTGCGAAGGCACCGATGGTCGAACGTAACTAGCCTCTTTATGTCCGCCGATCTTAGGGGCCAGGTTTCGCAACCGTACAGTAAGGTCGAACGTACCGCTGCATTGTACACTCTACCCTTCAGGGCGAGAGTAATGTCGCGCCGGCGCCATAAGTGGCGAAGGTTAGCAAAAGCACTTCGAGCTTTCGCTATACGGTTCGTGATCTCGTCTTCGATCCCAAGGGCGCTGATACAACTTCCCAGGTAATTGAATTTCTGAACGACTTCTAGCTGATCCCCACCAAGGGTCAGCACAGGGGGCGATCCCTGCCAATCTTGGAGGAACGCTTTGCACTTCGGTGGTGCAAAGCAAAGCCCGAAGCGGCTGACAGCCAGTGCTAATCTGTCCAGCGCGGCTTGGCACGTCTGGGAGCTGTCACAGATGAGGGCAATGTCGTCTGCATACTCCAAGTCAAGAAGTCGTTCTCCTGGGAGTAGCTCCACACCTTCCAAGTCATGTCCTGTAAATGCAATCTCCATGACTTCGTCAATAGCGAAGTTGAATAGGAAAGGTGACAGCGGGCATCCTTGTCTCACACCGCTGGAGATATTGAAGGGTGGCGACAGCTTGCCGTAAGCCCTCACTCTGCCCGTGCTACGCGCATATAATGCTTGGATAATATTTACATATTTCTCGGGCACACCTTTCCTGAGTAGACAATTCCAAAGGGCACATCGATCAACCGAATCGAAGGCACCTTTGATGTCGAGGAACACGACAACGGTGGGCCGCCAATATGTGTGACGGTGCTCCAACAACTGACGCAAGGTGAAGATGTGGTCGATGCAGCCACGACCTCGACGAAACCCGGCTTGCTCCTCACGAATCTGGCTTTCACGAGCGCCAGTCAGTCTGTGAAGAATTATGGAGGCGAGTAATTTGGAGGCGATGGAGATCAGACTGATTCCTCTATGGTTGCCGCATTCCGAGCGCGAGCCGCCTTTGAAGATGGGAACAATAACGGAGCGGCTCCAGTCGGTTGGGACAATCTCCTGCTCCCACAGTTTCACTAGTAATTCATGTAAAGCATTAACAAGAGCAGAGCCTCCGAATTTGAAGAGAGCTGGAGGAAGATCATCTGGTCCCGCGGCTTTGTTCAACTTCAACAGTCCGATCTCACGTTCGACTTCTGAGCGAGAGGGTGGATCCAAAGGGACAGCCCACGGAGCAGGGCGATCAGTGACCGGCGAATCGAACAATTCTAGCCGATTAAATTGCTTTTCAAAATGCTCAGCCCAACGCTCCAAACGTTTTGACAAATTGTGGATAGGCTGTCCATTCTCATCACAAATTGTTTCACTAACACCAGGTCTCCTGCTGCCCGTTTCCCGTATCAGACGGAATAACTTACGATGGTTGCCAAGGGCAGCGGCCACTTCCATCTCTGATGCACGATGAGACCACCAAGATTCGCGGTCTCTCTTCAGGCTAGCACGGAGTTTTGCCCGGAGCTCTTTGCGAGTTTCATTGTGTTCACTTCCAGCCGGGATATGCCGGCGAGCGTCGATAAGTTCCAGAGACCGAGAAGAGACCCAATGTCCATGTTGGCTATTAGACATACCACATGAGGATTTGCCTGCTGCTAGTAAGGTCTGGCGAACATGTGACCAGTGACCATCAATTGTCTCCAGTGAGCGATTACTCAACTCGCATGTCAGCGTACTTCGATACGCATTCAGAACAGCTGGCTTTGTCAGTTGGCTGGTGTCAATGCGCTCACATCGTCGTCGTGGGCGTCCGCCAAAACGCATCCGCATGTCAGCACATACAAGTGCATGATCGGTGTCCACACATGTGCTCCAAATCGAGCGACAATTCTGGATGCAGCCTCTCCAGCGGTAACTGATGGCAATGTGATCGATCTGCGTCCAAGACTGGTTCGAGGCTGGTGGGCGCCAAGTCACCCTCCGGCGGGTGCTGTGTCGGAAATTAGTGCTCGCAAGAAATAAGCGAGCATCTTCACACAAATGAAGTAACCGCTCACCGTTATCATTACGGGAGCCTACACCGTGTTGACCGCCCAGATGCATTTCATCAGTGGACAACTTTCCAACTTGTGCGTTCATATCCCCCGCCAGCACAACAGTGTCCGTGCTTCTTCTGTGGCGAAGGAGCTGGGTCAGTTGGCGGTAGAAGTCGTTCTTTACCGAATCATCGCTACAGTTTGTGGGCGCGTAGGCAGCGATGATGAATAGACATCTATTAGTCCCGCGCGACTTCGAAGCTTTGAACGAGCCAGCCAATCGGACCGCACACATCCGGCTACTGATTGGAATCCAATCAACCAGAGCAGCTTCAGCCCGGGGACTCAGGGCAATGCCAACACCAGCTTGGCCGGTGCTCGAAGCTGCATCGTCACCGGATAGGCGCAATGAGAAAATACTGCTTGCGTCACCTGAAGGGGATCGCAGAGTGAGCACAGTGCTCGAGTCTTGCAAGCGAGTCTCTGATAAGCAGCAGATATCGATCGAGAGGGTCTCCAATGTTCGGGCAAGTGCTGCCTGTTGACCGATTTGTAGCAGTGTGCGTACATTGAGGCATGCCAATCTGAAGGAGGATCGAGGGCTCCAAATGGAAGCCGATGAACTGGAATGGACCGCTTGGTTGGACATGGGCTTGTCGACAGGAGAGGAGTGACGCTCCGCGTTCACATGTGAGTTGAAATTAGAAGGTAAATGCCTAGCAAAGCATGTTGGGGGAGGGCCAAGAATCGGGGGGTTGAAAACTGGGGGGATATAAGTGAAGTTGGAAGGGGACGGTAAGAGTGAAAAAGCGTAAGAAGGGGAATAAGAAGACGGGAAGGCTTGAGCAGTAGCATCCAAACCCCTATCCACCCTGCTCGATGCAGCAGATAGGGCACCGTTGATTATCCTCTGCGGTGGCCAGAGCATCAAGAAATTGTTTGAGGAAAGATTCATTGTATTGCGTGGGCAGGATACTGTCAGGTTGCCCAGGCCTAGACAGGAGAACGATTAGGGTTCTCAACCAAAGCCTTTGGTTCAAAAACCTGACCGCAAGGCAGCGGGTTTGGCGGTGGGCTACAAGGAGTCCGTTTTAAGGAATAAGGTGCCACCCTCATTCCAACCCCCAACCTGGAGGACCAGGAGGCTGAGTTTGTCTGGCCTCTAACCATTGACCAATCTGGTATGAGTGACTCTGAAGGTGCAAAAGCACCACCCAGCATAGCTCAATGGATCGCTGAGGCACACAAACCATCGCACCACGGTAAGGTCCAGCCTCAGTCAATCCAAGGTGGGCTTTGTGGGGCAATCTACCTTTAAACCTCGGGACGGTTTTTTCTAAGATCGCCGTCATTTTGGGCAGTAGTAGATTCCATGTTTCGCCGACACGCACGGACTGTGGAATACCTCAATTTTTCATGCTTGCCGCAGCTTGTAATCTAGATAGATCTATACGCCAGTAGTTACGATGATATGCTCCGTGGTCCTTGATGGCAAGACGTCGTGTTCACATGAAGGAGACTAGTGAGTTGTCGCTTCGACCAAGTGGTTAGAGGGTCTCCAACTCAAAAATATCAGAGGGCTCCGGAGTGAACGCCAGCTCAAGGTCGTTTGATGTCTGGTCCGGGAACATCCGCGTTGGTGGCGAGATGTGCTAGATCAGATTGCATACCTAAATAACGTCGATAACTCCCATCTTGAAAGATTACAGTGAAAATGATTCCAATTGATATTGGGTGCATTGAAGTCACTCACTAGTAGATATTTTCTACCTCCGCCATTAGTTTTGATTGAGTGCAGATGACGTGCACCTGAGTCTGAGGGAGCTTTGTAGACAACGCCAATCGTGAGTGTTCGATGGTCATCATGCATCCTGCATCAAAGCACGTCCGAGGCACTGTTGTTGTCGGAGAATGCCTCAGTTACATGAACTCTGAGACAGCTTTCGTGTAGTGTATCTGTTGTATTTCCGCTGACAGTATGAGTAACAGACACAACCACTCGGGTCAAGGTACAGCCACTTCCCAAATCAGAAGAAAACGGCTTCTAGCGGAAATTTTGCGGAGCACCCGAAAGACAGTATGTACTGCCAAAATATGGGGTCAACATAAATAGTTCATTTAAGATTGACCTAATTGAAAGTTCCTGACTATAGCAACCACTAGATGCGCAAAAGCTCGCTTAGTGGCTTGTAGTGTTCATAGCTTTTTCATTTTTTGCGCTTTTCTCATTTCGCTTTTTCTATGCGTCTTGTACAGTTGTTTTAATTGATCGTTTTTTCATATACACAATTCTCGACCTCGAACGGCGCGTTCTGCTTTCCTGCGGCGGCGTGTTGCGATTGCTTTGTTGGTGTGCTTTGGAAAGTCTGAGCTTCGCGGAACCAACACTGGAATATCGTATCAGGGAGTGTGCAATATCAGTGGAGTTAGTCCAACCGTCACTACTGAAGGTCAGCGTGTTGATACTTTTATCTGACACTAATCCTTTCCTTCTGGTGCGGTAGTGTAAGACTAGTTTTCACTCCACTACATATTTGGTGACCCCTGTTTTTCTTTTTTTCCTACTGGAACATTTTTTCGCTTGCACAATGTCGTCCAGTACCACTCCCCACATTGACTCTTCTGAAAATTTTGTTGGTTTTTCCTTACCGGCTTTTGACGTTAACAATGCACGTGTCTGGTTTTTACAGTTAGAAGCTCTTTTCCGTTGCCGTAGGATCACTTCTCAAACCTCTATGTTTTCCTACGTCGCTGCCCATCTTCCCACGCACATAGCCGCCGATGTGGTTGACCTACTCGACCCTGTTCCTACTGATTCCCCCTACGATAAGCTTAAGGCTGCCGTTTTGAAACGCCTTACAGCTTCTGATGAGAGCAGACTTCACCAACTTCTCTCCGGAGTTGAACTGGGTGATCGTTCACCTTCACAGCTTCTCCGTTATATGCGCTCTCTCGTAGGTTCCTCTAAAGTCGACGACAGTGTCTTACGTCAATTGTGGCTAAAATGTCTTCCATCCAACACTACGGCGATTCTCGCTGTATCCGCCGACGATTTGTCACTTGACAAACTAGCAGAAACGGCCGACAAAGTTCATGAGTGTTTCTTTCAACGCCCAGTTTGTCACGCTGTTGTCACCCCACCTGAGACTTCCTCGTCATCAGATCCCATTGAATCCATTTGTCAGAGACTGTCCATACTCGAACTCGCCGTTAAGAGAGGACGTCGCCCCCGCAGTCGAAGTTTTAGGTCCACTTCGAGAAGCAGAAGCAGAAACAGACACGCTAGGAACACTGGACAGCATATTTGCTATTATCATCGACGTTTTGGTGATGCCGCTAAAAATTGTCGTCCTGGTTGCTCGCACCCGAAAGCCTTCCCCAAGGCTCAACAGGGAAACGCCCCAGCCAGCCAGTAATGGCGACGACTTCGGCTGGCACATCTTCTAGTCGCCTGCTTTTTGTCCGTGATTCCACAACCAACCTTTCATTCTTGGTTGACACTGGAGCCGAGGTCAGCGTTCTGCCTCGTGGAATGGAAAAACGCTACCTCATTCCCACAGGACCTACTCTCCAGGCGGCTAATAACACGAGAATCCAGACCTACGGTCAGAAGTTGCTTACTCTCGATCTTGGTCTTCGACGAACATTTTCTTTCGTTTTCCTGATCGCAGATGTACAACGCCCCATTATCGGTGTCGATTTCCTCACCCAATTTGGTCTTATTGTCGACTTACGTAACAGGGAACTTCGTGATAGTATCACCTCCCTCACCACTCCGGGCAGAGCCACTTCGATCAGCTCGATCGGACTTCGCATGACTCTACCTACTAACACTGTGTTCACCGAGTTACTCCAACAATTTCCCGCGTTGTATCTGCCGTCCAATAATTGTCCCGCACCTAAACACGAGATTGTGCACCACATCGTTACTCGTGGACCACCGGTCACTTCTCGACCTCGCCGACTACCACCCGATAAACTCGCCAACGCCAAAGCCGAGTTTGAGCACATGCTCCGTCTTGGTATCGTCCGGCCTTCTAATAGCCCATGGTCTTCACCTTTGCACATGGTCCCCAAAAAGTCTCGTGGAGATTGGCGACCTTGTGGTGATTACCGTCAGCTTAATAATGTCACTGTCCCTGACAGGTATCCGGTACCACATATTCATGACTTTTCTATGTGTCTAGACGGCAAAGTAATTTTCTCTAAGATTGACTTGGTCCGGGCATATTACCAAATTCCTGTCGCCCCTGATGACATTCCCAAGACAGCTATAACCACCCCCTTCGGTCTTTTTGAATTTGTCCGTATGCCTTTTGGACTACGAAATGCCGCACAAACATTTCAACGATTCATTGACCAGGTTCTCCGCGGACTTGATTTCGTTTTTGCTTATATCGATGACATTCTCGTGGCCAGCTCTAACCACGAAGAACATCTCTCTCATCTTCGCCAAATCTTTGAGCGTTTTGATCACTATGGCGTTACCATCAACGTGGACAAATGTGTCTTTGGCCAGTCCAGTGTTGATTTTCTCGGTCATCGAATCGATCGCACCGGAATCAGTCCACTCCCGGAGAAAACAAAAGCAATCACGGAGTATCCGATGCCACAGTCCTACAAAAGCCTGCGCCGTTTCCTCGGTATGGTGAATTATTACGGCCGCTTTATACCCGATTGCTCTAAACTGCTTCAACCTTTAACCGACTTGCTTAGAGGAAAGACTCGAAAATTCAAACCCACGAACGAAGCAATAGACGCTTTCGACAAGATTAAACATGCTTTGTCTAACGTCACAGCGTTGAGCCATTTACGGACGGATGTTAACACACCTCTCATCCTTAAAACCGATGCGTCACAAACCGCAGTCGGAGCCGTTCTGCAGCAACTCATCAATGGTCATCCCGAACCATTATCCTTTTTCTCCCGTAAATTACAGCCCGCACAAACTAGATATAGTACCTTCGGAAGAGAACTTTTGGCTATCTATCTCGCCATTAAACACTTTCGACACCTCCTTGAAGGTCGTTCATTTACCATTCTAACTGATCACAAGCCACTTGTTTTTGCCTTTCGCGGTTCTTCGGACCGTTTTTCCCCTCGTGAAACCCGACATCTTGATTACATATCGCAGTTCTCTACGGACATCCGTCATATAGACGCCACTGACAACGTGGTAGCCGACGCAATGTCCCGCATTGGAATTCAAGAACTTTCACGTCCGACCTTTGATCTAGAGGAAATCGCTGCGCATCAGGAGGGAGATTCTGAGTTTATGCAAATGAAATCAAACCCTTCGATCAAACTTACCCTTCTGCCGCTTCTTAACTCTGACTCCAAAGTTCATTGTGACATGTCTACGGGTAAGCCCCGACCCTACGTTCCCCAACGTTACCGCCGTGTCGTTTTCGATCATTTCCATGGACTCTCGCACCCAGGCATTCGAGCTACTGTTAAGTTGATCACAGATCGCTTTGTTTGGCCCAATATGCGCTCTGACATCCAACAGTGGGCAAAGCACTGTGTTACTTGTCAGACCAGCAAGATTCATCGCCATACAATCACTGTCCCTGGCACCTTTTCATCACCGGATGCTCGCTTCAGGCATGTCCATTTGGATATCGTTGGTCCTTTGCCCCCTTCCAACGGTTTTCAATACTTGCTGACATGTGTTGATAGATTTACACGTTGGCCGCATGCAGTGCCATTACGGGACGTTTCCACCGAAACAGTAGCGCGAACCTTCATCGAAACCTGGATTTCGTTCTTTGGCACACCTGCTACTATCACGACAGACAGAGGTCCGCAGTTCACTTCTTCGTTGTTTCGTGACCTAAGTCGTTTGCTCGGTTGTTCTCACATACGCACAACCGCTTACCATCCCGCTGCCAATGGTTTGGTCGAACGCTTCCATCGCCAACTGAAAGCTTCGATTACCGCTTCTCAGTCGAGCACGCAATGGTCGGAGCGTTTGCCAATAATCCTACTTGGCATACGTAACACGGTCAAGGAAGACATAGGCTGTTGCCCTGCTGAGTTAGTTTTTGGCACGCCACTTAGACTTCCTGGAGAGATGGTGTTGGATTCAAGGGTCACTGGTGAAATGGATCCTACATCCTATGCCACACGCCTGAGGAGTCATTTCAGCTCGGTACGCCCAACACCTCCACGACTCACGCCTCGTAACCCACAGGTCCATCCTGATCTTCGCGATTGTCGCTACGTTCTTGTGCGCATCGATACTGTTCGTAAACCTCTGACGCCACCCTACGAGGGTCCTTACAAGGTTATCGACCGCAAGGACAAGTATTTTGTGTTGGACCGAAATGGCTGCAAAGACTCTGTAAGCATCGATCGTTTGAAACCCGCTTACATCGAACCTCTTCCGTCTCAGCAATCTTCAGACGCATCTGTTCCCGAAGACGATCCATCGCCGAGCACTCCCCCTACACAGCCTATGTGTGATCCCAGTGTCCTTCCCTCGCAACCCTCTGCAGCTCCCCCTGCAACCACTCACACACACAAACGCACACGTTTTGGTCGTACGGTGGTTCTTCCTTCTAAACTAGCGTTTTACAATCAGTGAGGCGTACATTTCGAGCATTCGCTTGCCCACTCACGCTCTAGGGGGGAGTCCTGTAGTGTTCATAGCTTTTTCATTTTTTGCACTTTTCTCATTTCGTTTTCCTATGCGTCTTGTACAGTTGTTTTAATTCATCGTTTTTTCATATACACAATTCTCGACCTCGAACGGCGCGTTCTGCTTTCCTGCGGCGGCGTGTTGCGATTGCATTGTTGGTGTGCTTGGAAAGTCTGAGCTTCGCGGAACCAACACTGGAATATCGTATCAGGGAGTGTGCAATATCAGTGGAGTTAGTCCAACCGTCACTACTGAAGGTCAGCGTGTTGATACTTTTATCTGACACTAATCCTTTCCTTCTGGTGCGGTAGTGTAAGACTAGTTTTCACTCCACTACAGGCTGTTCAAATAGTCGCTTGCTGTAGGGCTTCAAGGCAGGTCATTCTCATTGGTCCAATTCAAGGTAAAGCGTTGCCATTGGGTTACTCTCATTGGCTAAACAATCAGCTACAAACGACGTACGACCAATATTCTCTGGGCCTCTTCAAAGGGAGCTGGCTTCGAGAACTGTTACGGATGGGCTCCCTTAATAGAATCACTCCACCTCCGGTCCTCCCATTAGTAGTATCAGCTCGGGAGAGTTGATACCCTGGTATGCTAATTTCTGTACCCAAGATCTCAGAGAACAGCCAAGCCTCTGTGAACGCCAATAGATCTGGATGGGGTTCAAAGATGAGAACTGGAATCTCGTCAAGTTTGTTCCCGAGGCTGCGCACACTGGCAATTGTTATTCGCAGACTTCTGTTTGCGCTAGCGGGCTTGGTAGCAGAAAGCTTGACCGCCAGCGCGCTCTCGATCCTCTTCACTACACTAAAATCCACAAAATGTTGGGCGGTTTCATCATTGACTGTACGCGTGCGTAACTCCTTAACAGCTTGTTTCATTTTAACTCCATCCTCTGGAGAGAGGTCTTTCAGGACACTTGAGAATGTGGCAACATTCTTCTTCTTGACAGGCGACTTTAAGAGGGAACTTGGAAGAATCTACCTGCATTCTACAGAGGCGGAAGGCTGAGCCGATGTTACTGCTCTGCTCACCTTCGTCGAATAGATTGGATACCATGCGTTTGAGGTATGCCTTTTCGTCAAGGATCCTCTCAGTTGAGGTCATTGTTTGCTTCCGGAGCATTTGTAGTAATCAAACACCGTTCCCTGGTTTTTATGCAACCGGTTTTTTGGTCATTAATTTCTCAAATCATGTAACTTGAGCAAAAGCACGCTTCAGTTGCGTTGGCATAGATTTGGATGTCGCTTTGTCTTTAGTGGCTACCTTTCTGTAATTTTCGCCGCTGCGTAGATCTTTGTCTTGGTTACATTCTCAATTGCAACTTTCTGGCATTCGTGCTCTGCGTCATGCAAAAGCGTTCCCGCTGATGAAGCGGAGGAGGATCGACTTCCGCTGTGCGCATTGCTAGCGGAAGGAGACATAAATGACGACAGTGAGTGTTGGCGGTGCAGTGTTCGTATCGGTCCTTTATGTTTACGTTAGATAGGCGAGAACTGACTTATCATATACAATCATTTGGCACTGATCGCAGTGAAACGTACTACCGGAGGATGCTGTTCGTTTTTTGGCATGCATACTGGTTGGCTTTGATATTGCAGCAAGTTGTGTGGGCTCATCCTTCAAACAGACCACTTTGCGCGAACTTAGGTCGTTAAATAATAACTAATGTCAGCTCTACGCTGTAACGACGCTTTGCTGCCGTGCGACCACCACCAGTCGTACGCGAGCTGAATATACCGCGAGGAGGCCCACCCTTTCACGGATTCGAACCCGCACCGCAAGATTACGAGACAAATTCGTTACCTCTAGGCTACAGGCTTTAGCTCGTGAGGTGGAACTTTTACCGACAACTCCCAATTGTTTGAGACAGTAATACAAAACGTAACTGCCAACAACCAAAAGCATTTATATAGTATCTGGCGGTCATCAAAAGAAACAAGATCAGCAGACAACCCATCTGCCTCGTGTATATTCATTACAGATTATGGCATTTCTAGATTATACACCGCCTTAACAGGATGTATGCGCAAACTCGATTTCATGTTTAACCGACCACGTCACAGATACCGCTTGCAAGCATTTCGATCGAGCTTCTCGGTACTTTTGAAAGGTGCATGTCGAAGAAGCAGACACAGGTACGCCAACATCTGGTCCGTCTCTTAAGCAGCTTTCGTGCCGCGAAACCAAACAAGGGTGGCCTGCTTTAAGTTTATTCCTCACAGGAATTGGTATATGAGGTAGACAACTCAGATAATAAGGATTTGAAGGTGTCCCAGGCTGCCTGAATGTTGTCGGTGTCCGAAATGACGCTAGGTGAGGTGGCGGCCTTTGCTTTCATTGCTTGCAAATCGGCACGCCATATGTGCGATCTTCGAATGGTGCGGTCATTGGATACTCGGTTGAGAGCGCACTTGAACAACAGGCATACATGGTCACTACTACCTAGAGGTGAATCGTATTCAATGTCTCTGACTAATTCCATTGACTTGGCAAAGACTAGGTCCACGAGTGACGGTACTTGACCCACCTTGCTCTTGGCTGACCGGTCAATAAATTTATGTAAGGGAACATGCAGGGCTAGGTCTAGAATTTCCGTGACAAAACTCCCGGAAGCAGCATCAGAGAAAAAATTCTGCCAGTCAACAGTTGCAAGATTGAAGTCCCCCATCACTAAACATCTATTCGTCGAGTAAACACGGATGAAATCAATCAGCCCCTTTGCAACGCTATCAGGGCTTCTATAAACCAGCACAACTTTAAGCTGTGCATGGGAGATACGCAAGTTAACCACGAGTACCTAGATCGAACTGCCTGGGGAACGGAATTTATACGTTTTGAAAATAGTTAACGCAGTGTTAACATACAAAGTAACGCCACCTCCGCGACGAGCGGAAGCGGAGTCACACTTCAGCAGTGCGTAGCCTAGTAAGCCAGCTTCACCGTCCGTTACGTCGTCAGGCAACCACGTCTCAGTGCACACGAGAATATCTGGACGACAGTCACGGATCATGGCCTCGACCTCGCACATATTTCGCAGACTACGCACATGGCTGAAGATCACCTAGCATCGATAGCCCTGGGTGGTATGTTACCGGTACTGGCACCGGTAGGGCGGTAATGGATTGTCGGCTTACCACCTGAAAACCCACTAAATGGAGATCCTTTTACCCCGCTTGTCGATGGGCTTAAAAGCTTTAACAGCTTCCTTCAATTTCAACCTATCTGCCAGAGAAGTGTCTGGTTACACAACGACATCAGTGTCCTTGAGTTTAAACGTGAATCGTAGGAGAACCAGGCGTTCCTCTAGTGTGCACATAACAACTCGCAGTAGGTGAGATCGAAGATTTGGATCCGTCGACTGAAAATTTACCGAGTCTAGTAAGTTTTAACACAGTAACCCTGACGGCAGTAGCTTAGTAATGCAAAATTTGAACCACTGAAGATCATCTAGCGTACGATCTCTTGGGAGAGCAGCGGAGAGCTCCGTGCCATTCCGAAAAATAACACCACCATCGGTGTACGAGTCACCGCGACGCGGCGTATTTACAGCACGTGATACGGACACAGGTGCTTGTGGTTTCGCATCTGGCGTTATTGACTCTAAAGTCGTACTAGACTCTATCTGCGAAAATGGGACGGCAGTAGTTGCGTTGGGGTGCAATGGACATGGGGAAAGGGAAATATGCTGTTTATCTGCCTTTGAACTAACCATCTTCTTACCCTTCTTCCGCTTTCTCCTGAAAATCCCTGAGGTCTGCGCTTCACCCTCATTTACAGCTGAATCAAATACGCTAGCCGAGCGAGCAATACTAACTGGCACACTAATGGTAGGTTGCGAACATGTCGGGGTTTCCAGTAATGCCAAATTACCCAGATCCCCCATTGTATCCTTACAGAGTAAGCCTGAGCTGTCCATCCGCTTCACAATCCAAGCGACTTTCCTGTCTAAAACAGTCAGTAGAGACAGAAGGCCAACCATAGAAACATGACTGCCCATTGCTAGTGAGCAGCGCTCAGCCCGACAATGTTCCCCGCAGTAACCTGATTTGGCCTGGTGAACCGCCAGAAAATGCAATGGATCACCTTTGTCGCATTGTCCACATTCATCCATGATCTTAGTGGTCGGTTTGCCTAACGTAAGCCAGTCTGTCCACACATCAGTTATCTAACGGACGTTTCCGTGTTCCGTAGAACAGAGTAGAGGTTCGGCATGGTCGCATTTGCATTCCCCGATGCTATGATACGGCTTTCGGTCCCATATTCTCAATGGACCTGTATTTGGTTGAATCTAAAGTACAGTAGAATCTCCAAAGTTGATCCCCTTTGTACCCTGTCACTCCTCTAATTTGACACTATTTTCATAGCCTGAACCTTCACCATGTAAACTTTATCGTACCAGACCTCAGTATATTCATCGCCTCTTTAAGTTGCATGTTGAGCACTAGTGTCTTAATAAACATTATTCATTTAACCTTTTTAAGTTCACTATGTGAATGTTTACGTCCAATGCTCACCGGATGATCCTTTGTTCGAATAATAATGTGTATGTAACGGGAGTTTCAATGTAAGAAGTTCTTTTGATCCACAATCACTGCACGTCGCGGCTCTACACAGACTCAACCATACAGCGTGTTCTCTGTCCGTGTATGTGCGCGTTTACTGGCATTGTATTTATGAAGATGTGAGTGGTGCAGTGCAAGTCACCCATGGTCCCTCTAGGCGCAGGCGTCCTTTGGCTGTCCTATAGAGGTCGCAGTGACAAGCGAATCAGGAACCGGATACCGCCATGCATTGTCAGTACGCGCATGCGTATTCATCTCGTACAGTGTGTCCTCGCAGATCTATTTCCACAAATTAACCTTTACCGTTTTTGTGTGAAATATTTGCTTCCCTTTGCAACATGTGCCTACTCATTGCGCAGATCGCAAGCAGGAGTTTGAGGGCCTGTAGCTGTCTATTAATCGATTCGTAGCTAACCTGTTTAACGCCTCATCATTAGGCTCTTGGATGGTAGCGACGTTAAGGTTTACGTCCCTACTGATCATTCAGCTCCTATACCGCGCTATTTGTTGTCTCCACTTGATAGGCTCTGGTCCCCTACTTTTATGCGCGCGTGCTGATTGGACACACTCAACTAACAAATCTATTCGCACAAACATATCCTGCATCAATGACGCTGTCAAAATGGAAGTTCGCAGGGTTCTCCTATCGTTCTCGTCCCGTTTGAACTTTAACTTGAGGGTGCAAACAATTAAGTTTTGTTATGGTACGTAGTCAATATTCTGTAAATAACAGCATAGAACTTTGATCCACTCCGTGCTTTAAAAAATTT